CATTTTAATTTTTTCAATAAAATAAATAATAGCTAAACCATATTTTATTAAAAAAAATTAATAAAATAAGTAAGCTAAATTACAAAGCTTTTAGGTTCATACCCTAACAATAGAAAAAAATTCTCTTATTAAGAGTAGTACATTATCGATACAACGTAGTTGCGAACAACCAATTGCTACTATTTAGTTCGTACGGTGCTCGCTGGCGATACGAGCATCCGCCCCGCTTGTCCTCCGATCCCCGCGCCTACTCCGCGAATTTTTGACGCCGTCTGTACCTTAATGCGTATTCATACTACGTCCACTATAAATATCCATATGAAATCTAATATGGACATTCATTAGAATTAGGGTGCGGTCAACGTCTCACTGCAAATGTTTCCAAGTATCATTCTATCTTTATTCTACATACAACGAGAAATAAAGATAGAACGATGCTTCAAAACATTTGCAGTGAAGCTTTGACCGCATTCTTAGACGTATGTTACAGATATATAATAGATGTATATATTATCAAAGACTTAATAAATTATTTAAAAAAATATGTTTACTGTGCTTTTTTTATTTAAATACCTGACCGTTTATTATCGCTTAAAAAATATTTATATAACTCTGTGCGACATTTATCTCCATGATGAATGATCGATAGTTTATATAAAATCCATTATAAACATTGCTAGAGAAGATGCCACACAGCTGTCACTAGCACCGATCTGTTTGAAAAAATCTCAGGTAAAGTTTAAGTAAATTTGGTCAAAGTATATATAAACAGGATCAGCACGATCGTGCGATCCTGATTATCACAGAATTTCAATGTGTCCATGCGTTAAAACAGAATAATTGTCTTATATGTTGACACTCTGTGTGCAGGTTATATGCCGATGACAGGTGAAGATTTGGTATGCTGACTTGGAGAAATAACAGTCAGATAAGTATAAATAATGTGTTTCTTGGATCTCTCTCTGCGTGCACAAGAACCTAACTGAATAAAAACTTTAATTCTTTAATGTGTATTTTTCTTTAGTTTTGGTGGTGAGAGAGAGTTTTGCAGCTGTCAGGTATACCCACTCAATGCACCACTAGCAAAGTGAGGTAAATATGCAAATAAATAAATAAAATATGTAATAAATAAGTTATTTAGAGTAACGTCAATTAGATGAAAGTACTTTACGAATTTTTCTGTTTACAGGAGCTGTCAACTATCTAGAACTTTGCACAGCTGTCACTATGTAAAGATGTTGTAATATACAGGTAAGTGGTCAATTTATTTTTTTTTTATTTATTTAAAGTAAACTTATGTCAAATAGGTAGTTTAGCTAAATATATTTGCAGTCAAAGTGTTAAAATACCAATCTAATACTTATTTTTATAGTTGCAAGTACAGCAGACTACACAGAAGGTGCATACTACTGTCGCTGCACGAAACTCAGCACTGGATATAAAAATAAGTAATGAGTCAAATGTTAAAAATGTGTAATAAATAAATAAATTAGATGTCTTCGATTATAGTCAGGCTAATAAAAAGGTATTAAAATCTATTTTTCTGTTACAGATATAGAAGACCAGTCAGACTTGTGTGCAACTATCATCCACCAACTTGATACAGGATATTTATGTAAGTAGCAGAAATAGATGTTGTAATACTTTCAGATAATGTCAGGGAGGTAGGTAGAAATAAATCAAGTAAATAAAATTCAATCTAGGTGTCAAGTCAGTATAATAGAAATAAGGCAGTTGAGACTCCGTGTATATTAGTAGGTTGTGGTAGAATGTAGTTGAGTGTTAGAGTGCTTTTATGTGTAAAAATGAACAAAAATAGATGTAATATGGTACAAATGAGATAATAAAGAGCTGCAAAACTTAAATAAGACTAAACAAATTAGGAGATCCAGAAATTTATTGATGAAAATTACAAAAAGACTGGCAGACACCTGTGACAGGCACTGTATGTGTATGATTATAAGTAATTAATAAGTTCCTTGATTTGTTGTGTTTTGTTCTGTGTGGGAACATCGCGAAAAGATGAAAACAAATACAATAAAACAATACAAAAATATAAATTATAGTAATAGAATTAATTAAAATAAATTTAAGAAGCTAAATCACAGTTATTTGTTGAAAGTAAAAAAAATTCACAAATGTTTGGAATATTTTGATCATAACAGAATAGTTACCGAGTTCTTAATAAATAAAGATCCGCGAATGAGCGTGCAGCCACGTATAAAATGACAGCTCGGAACTGTCGTTTTTTCGCACGCTCGTACGCCTTAGCAACGAAATGAGAGGAACTAACAAACAGCATATAATATACATAAAAAATTAACTAACAACGACTAACTAATGTGACGCGAAAATATGGACTTAAAGTATAAGAGAATTCATTTTTAATTTATCTTGACATTAGACTTAAAACTCTACGTTGTAATTTCGTTATATTTGAAAGTCATAAATATTTTGTATGTATTTTCCAACTCTCACTTATTTGTTTTTGTCCGTTGATTTCTTTCAACGACTGACATGCTAAGAATTTTGTAGTAATCGATACATCGATACATCGATATCGTTACTACAATCGAATGTCATCCTAGCAACCGATACATAATCATTCAATTATTCTTAACAACTATTCTCTTGTTCAATTATGTATCTTCATTCATTCCAAGTTCATTCCTGTAACCATTCACACGTTTAAATAAACCGACTCAAGTTTTCTTTAAAAGAACAAAGTTTAGTTTATTTTGTGAGTGAACAAACATAACAAATATAATAAGAATAATTCTTCTAAGATCAGTTAAGTCATTGTTTGATACTAACTTTGCTTTTCTGACAAATTACATATATTAACAATATAACAATTGTAAGATTATGTCGATTAAAACACAGACAGTATGTATTGTTTCAACTTGGCTAATAATGATCACAAAATATATAAGATGAAAATGTTCCAATCATTGTAAAGTTGTTTTATATTGCTTTGATATTAACACATGAACAACTGTGGTTTAGCTTTAGATGTATTTAAATTTTGAATTTCAATTAGGTCACTTTAATATAAATTAATATAGAATTTAAGTAGATAGACTAATATAGACTAATATAGAATTTAAGATATATATGTAGACTAATTTTTACTGCAACAACAAAAATGTCACATACTTCAAATTAATACACATAATATATACCATCATTTTTTTAATAAATTCATTGCTTACTGCGAAATTGAAGAAATCTTTATTGCACGATATTTGCAGCCGATTGCTCTGTTACACACACACACACACACTCTCTCTCTCTCTCTCTCTCTCTCTCTCTCTCTCTCTCTCTCTCTCTCTCTCTCTTTCTTTCTTTCTTTTTTCTTCTGGAAGCCCAGTCTGCAGAGATAACTATTCTGCCACAATAAAAATATCTCGCCAAAGCACACACTTGTAAGACACAGTTTAGTGATGATATTTTTCATTTATTTTGATTGTGTGTGTGTGTGTGTGTGGTTACTTTTTTGTCCCACTTTCGGTACAATAACTGCGTTCAGTAAAACAAGTTGCTTTGTAGTGATCGAACGTAATTGGCTTTTATACTCATAGAACCAACAAATTAACGTCAAGTGTTGACAAGACAACAACTCAGCAATTTGTTCTGTTGAACGCGGCCGTTTACAACACATGTCACGGCGTGTGTTTATTGTGCGGTTACGGTGCATTTTCATCGCAGTGCGCGCACGGCGCTGTAGTAGATAGCTGTAATGTTCACCATGTGCGTTCTCTATGCGGTTGTGATAGCGTTTTCTATGCAGTGATTGCACAGAGATGCCACTGTGAACGCACGCCGTGACTGCACGGTGTGCCTTCGCGTGCAATTGCACGTTTGGCTATCGGGGTATCGCAGAAACTCTCTGTCGTTATCAAGAAAGGGAATAGTAGCGTTGCTTTCCAGCAAGAAACATAGACGACACGAAGTCACGCAATGTTTGACACAATGCTTTCCAACAACGACACAGCTCGACACAACTGTACACACCCGAAGAGTACAGTGAAGCACAGTGTGTCGAATGCAATGCTGCCAATTTATTGAGAGAATTCAGATTAAAATTGGCAGCATTTTGTTTTTTAAGTTCCCGCCTCGAGTTATGTATAAGATTATGTATGATATAAACGTGCCGTTTTCTTTAGTTTTAACTGTTTATGCTATATAAAAAAATGTTTTAGTGTAAACATTATTGTGATACGATTGATTCTTTTGATGACAGTTCAAACTATCCTTGTTTTATTGGAAAAATGGTATATTTAGAAGAAAATAATATTTTATTTGCAACGGAAGATGCAGGTGATAAATAATCTAAATTGAATAAATTCTATTGTTACTTTTTTTTAACTATACCTGTTAATTTCATCAATGAAAATAATAATAAATCTTCATCCTAACTGCTTGAAATAATTATATCTTCAGTACTATTACTTGATTTACTTAACTTTTCATCATCATTACTACTATTACTTGATGAAGAACTGTTAATTATTACATTTGATTTTTTCATTAAATAAAAAATAAATGGGTAATTATGCAGTTATACGGACTATTTTCCGATCTCAACAATTTTGACATATGTTATCAAGGTCACCTCCCTGAATAATAATATGAAGGTTTTATCCGTCGCTCATTGTTTATAAAAAAGTTATGAACAAAAAAAGTTTGATGATTGAAC